TCAGACGTAAGAGTTTTCCATTGTTATTCATCCCAGCCAGAAGTTTGTTATACTGATAAACATATCTGCACCCATGATGGCCAGCTATTACTTTGCTGGATTATCAAAACAAAGCTACTAGTACACTAAAACTGGTGTCATAGCCTGTAACACCCCCGGAAGCACAAATTTGGTTTGTTGGGATTTTGCTCCTGCACCCAAAGCTGAAAAGCTAATTAAAGAAACTGTGCAATTAGTGGCACCTCCAACTACCCAATAGTCAAAACTAACCCCCTTCCCTCAATCGTGGGAAGTAGGGCAGAATCTGTTTATAAATTTGGCTGAAAATATAGCTCGGACACTTGGTGTCACCAGTTGTTGGGTATGTAGAAGGATCCTAATGACAAAAGAGTGGCCTTGGAAGGGAACTAGTCTGAATGCTTACCAGCTCCTCCAATGGAACCATTCTTTGACTGTTAGAACAGGTAATATACCCCAGAAGTGTATCCTCTCCTCAAAAGTAATTGGAGAAGACTGATTATGCAGAGCAGGGTCTGCTTATACTCAATAGATAGGAGAGACTCCTTGCAAAATAATATTATACTGGAATTCAACCCACCAGACCTGGTGGCCAACAAGGCCTGTTTGGTATTGGGCATCTGCTTATGCAGCTAAATCTTCTCAATGTACTAAAGGGCTATTTTGGACATATGAAAAGGTTGCATATGCCCAGCTCCCAGCATTATGAAAAGGCATATGTACCATAGGAATAATCCAGTCAGGATTTTTTCTTCTGCCTAACCCAAGGGGGGGATGAACTAGGTATCCCCCTTTATGAAAGCCTCAAAACCGAGGTGCTCTATCCCTCAATCAAGTTTCTAATATAGGAGGGACCCAGGTTTGGAAAAATGAATGGCCACCCCAGAGAATTATAAATACTTATGGCCCAGTCACATGGGCGCAAGATGGGAGTCAGAAATGTCGCATACCTCTCTATATATGCTAAATCGCATTATCAGGTTACAAACTGTCTTAGAAATTATAACTAATCAAACAGCCACGACTTTTGAACTTGTTGCTCAGCAGCAAGCCCAAACGCACGTAGCTATTTATCAAAACCGCCTAGATTTGAACTACCTGCTGGCAGAAGAAGGAGGAATATGTGGTAAATTTAATAACTCTTAACAGTTGTTTACAAATAAATAATAATGGTTCTCAGATCCCACTACACTCCTTTGTCTGAAGAGTCAATGATTTGACTCTCGGCACAACTAAAAAGGGGGGGAGGGTGTAAAAGGGAAGAGCAGCCTCTGCCCCTGGGATTGTAAAGGGGAGGAGTGAAAGAAATAACGTCAGCCTTGAAACAGGCATTACTCCCTTCCTGGAGGTTTTTCTTTGAAGGTTTCTCCTCTGTAAACATTGCAAGATAAATTGTATCGTTACTGGCTACACTCGTCTAATTAGCACATTTGTTTCTGTAAACTCACTAGCTTGCTGATGTCAGCAGAATATTGTGATAAGAACTCTGGAAAATGTCCAACTCTAACTTTAGCTAACCAAGATGGAAGCCAGTACTACACTTAAGGGAGCTCTGAGCTGGGACTCAGTCTTGCTTGAAACTCTCTTCCTGTAAGCAGTCGCCAGCTGGCAGAGCTTTGACTAATAAACTTCTCCTTTGTTAAAATTAAGTTGGTTGACTGTTATTTAATCACTCGGATCCTACTTCACAACATTGTGGGACTAAAGAAAAAACAGTAGTCACAAAACTCTTAGGTTTCATTTCTGATCTTTGTGCCTGAATGAAGAAATTTTTGAATGGTGTAGTGTTATTTCTTTCTTTCTGTTTTTTTCTGTTTCTTTCTGTTGCCCAGGCTGGAGTGCAGTGGCACACTCATGGCCACTCCAGTTCGCCTGCTGGGCTCAGGTGATCCTTCTGCCTCAGCCTTCCAAGTAACCAGAACTACAGGCACATGTTACCACGCCCAGCTAATTCTTTTCTTTTCTTTTTTGTTTTTTGTAAAGAAGAGGTCTTGCCAAGTTGTCCAGGCTGTTCTGGAACCTGTGGACTCAGGCATTCCCCTCACCTCGGCCTGCCAAATTGCTTGAGTCACCATTCCCGGCTGTGATAGATATTTCAAATGATAGAAATTAGCTTTCTTGAGAGCTACTCTAGCATTCATCTGAAAGATTAAAGGTATATTCATAATATCAATTAATGCTAAGATATTGTCATTTAGTCCTGGTGTGCAGAGTTATTCTGTGTAATCAAGTGGTTAAAAGATCAAGCTATAAAAAACTGATTATATGAGACAATCAAGAGTTCATAAGGAGCAAAATAGGTATAGTTTCACAGGATATAGAAATTGAGATGAGATTGTTGAATAAAGAAAGAAATGTAAAGTCATGCTAAAGATCCCCCTTGGGTATTCAGCAGAGTACTAAATAATGTATGGGTATAAAAAAATGAAGTGCATAACAAACTGTCCAAAGATGGAGAATGTACTATCTAGAAAGCTTTAGAGGAAAACATGCCTAACACTTACAAAGGGTTTGGAACCATGTCTGTTTCTTTTTCTTCTTCCTTTTTTTTTTTTTTTTTTTTGAGTTGAAGTTTTACTCTGTCACCCAGGCTGAAGTGTAGTGGCACACTCGCAGCCACTGCAGCCTCCACCTGCTGATCCTCAGGAGATCCTCCAAATCAGTCTTGATGTCGCTGGAACTATAGGTGTGCTCATTTTTTTAATTTATTGTAGAGATAAGATCTCACCAAGTTGCCCAGGCTGATCTTAAACCCCTGAGTTCAGGCAATCCTCTTACCTGCACCTCCCGAAGTGCTGGGATTATCAGGCATGAGCTATCACGCCCAGCTCCATGCCTGTTTCTAATAGCCATATTATAAAACTTCATATTTCTAAAAAAGTTAGGTAGATTATATAGAAAGGTCTTACCTCAGTAGTGAGGAATAATCAACTCTAGACAGAAGGTTGACTAATAATACTTAAAAGCAAGTCCAAAACGTATCAGTATAGCTACTTGGCAAAGACATAGGTAAACATCCTAGAAAAAAAAAAGCTCACAAATATTTTTAGAAATAAAAAGAAATATGCAGCACCAACAAAGATGAAATTCATAGTGTATACAATTCAATGAAAAGTATCTGGTAAGCAAAGAAACAGAGTAAAATGACCATAATTAAAAATCAATCAATCAAAATAGATCCAACAAATACAAATGCTACAGTAAGCAGACATTTAATAAATTCATAAAGGATTATAAAACATATTAATCTAATCACACTTTTGGTTATGAAAACTTGGGTGTCAGATATGATTAATGTGATTACGTTAATATAATTAATGAAAGATTAGACATAGAAAAAGGAAAGATTAGTGAACTTTTATAATGATACAAACTATTTAAAAGAAAACAAAGAAAAAAGTCAAAAAAAAATCAGTGAACTATGTTATACTGTAGCTGTACTTGAAATGCCTGAAGGAGACAAATAAATGACAAAGTAATATTTTAAGAAATAATAGTGGTAAATATGTGAATTTTAGTGAAAATTCTTAACCTATAGACCTAAGAGCCCCAGTAAACCACAAGCACAAAAAACATAAACTAAAACAAGACAAATTGCAAACAAATTTCTCAAATACAGTGACAATGGAAAACTATTAAGCAATCCAAGGGAAAAAGATACATTTAAGAGGTTGATTAAAACAAGTGTTGGCCAAGACATAGATGTTGCTCTCAAATGTTTTAATATGCACTGCTAGACAAAAATGTAAAATTTATAAATTTTTATGATCACTCTGAGTAAGAATTTGGTACTTTTCTTGTTTCTTTCTTTTCTTGAGTTTGGGTTTCACTGCTGCCTGGGCTGGAGTACAACGGCACAAATAATACCATAGTCTCACTCTCCTGCTCAGGCAATCCTTTCACCTCAGCCTCTCATGTAGCTGGGACTACTGACATGTGTCACCATGCCTGGCTAATTTTTTGATGTTTTGTAGAGATGAAATCTTGCTATGTTGCTCAGACTGGTCTCAAATTCCTGGGTTCAAGCAATCCTCCCACCTCAGTCTCCAAAGTGAGGGATTACAGGCATGAGTCACTGTACCCTGCCAAGTTTGTCACTTTTTAAAAAGGTGAGCCTATATCTATTATATGATTTCAACATTCTGCTTCTAGGTATTTATATAAGGGAAAGGAAAGCTTGTGTACGTACAAAAAACTGTACATAAAAATAGAAATAGCATTATTTCTAATAATGAACAATTGGAAACTGCCTAAGTGTACATCAGCAAATGAGATACTAAAAAAATTGTGCAAATAGAATATCTCTCAGTTAAAAAAACAGTAACTCTTTACTCATAGGATGAGATGACTGAGTCTCAAAATAATTTTGTTGTGTGAAAAAAGCAGACACCAAAAATAATACGTGCTGTAGAACTTTATATTAAATTCAATGAATTGCAATCTAAAGTGACAAAAGACAGATTTGCTGGAAACAGAAAAATAAGTAGGTACGAGCATGGAGGAGAAATCACAAATGTGCAAAGAGAAATTTTTTAGGTAATATGTTACTTGACTTTATGTTAGTAATGAATTCAGGAGTGTATATATTTGTCAATCTTATCCAACTGTACACTTTATATATGTGCAGTTTTTTGTATGCCACGTATGTCTCAACAAATCTGATAATTTCAAAAGGAATGAACATATGTGATACTTAGCCTTTCTGCTTTAGTCTCCTTATTTGCAAAGTGAACATAATATTATATCTACCTTTCACAGCATACAGTAAGAATTTATTCTACTCACTATTATTTTATTGGTTACAGAACAGTCAACACAATTTTCGTAAATTTAATGTTTAAACATTTTTTGCTAAATATATGATAATGTTGGGACCTTATGGATGATATGAAATGATTGATCAGAGTGATCATAGGATTAGCTTAGGAAACAAACAAACAAACAAACAAACAAACTATACACCTGTTGGGTCAGATACTTACTGGTTGTTTGAGAGAATGGAGCCATCTTCCCACTGCCAGGATCCATTTGTTGGAATTTGTATTAGTCCCATCCAATGATATGACTTCACCAATTTTAGAAAATCCTGTTTAAAATCATAAATAAACTACAAATAAAATCAGTGTTTGTAAATACAAGGCCATAACTGTACAATAATTTTTCTCACAATTGTAAAAAATGCACTTTTTCACAATTAGCATAATTCCTACCTAAGCAACACATAAATAATACCTGAAATTTCAGTGCTTTCTTATTTTTAATAATGAAAGATTTAGGATCAGTACTAAAATATCTAGGTTTTAGTGCTTCTCTTATGTTTCAGGTTTATATTCCAGTTAGTAGCCTCATATGTAAGAATTAAGTATAGGATAGGGAACAAAAACAAGTACCTAACCTGGTCCACTTTGCTGTATATCTGCAAAAGGCTGGAATTTTGAGACATACAGGAAGCTTGGCTCTCATACCAGTTTTTACTCTCATTAAAAAATTGGTAGCAGTTATTTTTATAACATATCCAGTTTTTAGGACATGGACCACAGTAACTTTCTAGAAGGAGAGAATATATTACTAGTTATATGCATGTTTAAACATTATAGCAGAATTTGTCTAGACAGATTACATGTCTTTTTTCATCCAACTCTAAAATTTTAGATTATGAAGCCATTATGGTCATACACAAAGATGCATCTCCACACAGAGAGAGAGATGACAAACTTAAGAATTTTCTACTTTTTGCAAGTTTTATTTCATTGTTAAAAGTATAGCAGAAGCCACAGTGAATTATGGACAAAAAATTAATCATTTCTTTGCTCTCATTTTAGCATCATTGAATATATGTTAATATTCAGATAAATAAAAATATAGAGAGAAACATATGATCCATGCTTTAAAATATTAAAGAAACAAACAAACTTACCTTTCAAAGAAATTGGAACTTCTTGGTTGAATAATGCTATCAAAATAATAATTATTAAAAAGGTTGGTGTTTTAGTAACTTGCAGGTTAAGCAAATATAATTTATAAATTTCTAAACTAATAGCAAAAATGTGAAAAGAACACATTTAATATTGTCAGTTTATGTTTCTGAACACTCTTAAAGTAACACATTGCAATTGTTAAATCAACAATGTTGTAATCTACTTCTCTGTTATGACTTACAATTTATGAATATGGCACTCCATATTGTCACCATGACAATGAAACGAATTCCCATAGCTACAGCAATAAAACGGCATAAAAAAAATGGAGATGCTGTAAAGAAAAAAAATAGATTGAGTAGAAAAGCAGCACAGAGGGTTTAAGTATCTTTGTTTTTAATATAAATATTAGGGTGTATTTTTATGAGAAGATAGTATTGATCCTTTTTCTGCTTTAGGTGTTTTTCCCAGAATAGGTGACATAAGTACTTTGTCAATGTTTACATCATTAGAGTACAGAAATGTAATAGTCCCATCTAGACTTCTCTACAAATGCTCCATTCAACCCCTAGAATATATTATGCTTATCATTTATTATTTGTATGCAGATACCATAACAAATATAAAAAAGAAAAAAGAAAGAGTCACCAGCATGACTGATTACAGGAATCCACAACTCACTTCCACAAACAAGGACCAAAATAACAAGTTGATAATCATGGATTGAATAGTGTCTAAGCAAAAATACTGGAATTCAGCAAGAAAGTGAAAAAGACTTTCTGAGGCTCAGAAATACGGTGACTGCATAGACAGGAAAGAGATGCAACTCACTTGGATCAGGTTTGAACAAAGAGGGACATCCCATTGTGGAGAAAAGGTAAGGGGAAGTTTTCTAGCTGTCCACATTTCCATCACAAACTCCTATAGTCCTAGCCACAGGAAAAGCCTATAGACCTCACTGGTCTTAGTCTGGTATAGAGAACTGACTAGAGTCCACGTAAGTGCATTATTCCAGAGGAGCAATTCACACTGGGTTCTCCTCTTTCCCTGGGATGCAGGCTGCTGCAGGACTGTGCTCGAGTGTTGCCACCATCAAAGTACATCCTGCCCTGAGGTCCAAGAGCTGCATTTTTATATCTCTTGGGTCCAATAGCTCCCATGTTATTAAATCCCTGGTGCCCTGTGACATTTTATTATATCCATGAAGAGGACTGCAGTATAGAGACCCCAGCTGAACCCAGTAGTGCAATGGTGATCTGGACATCAAGACCATACAGGGCCCTACATTCCAGGAACTGGTGGTCTAGCCTGTCATAAGAAGTTGCCCTCAGAATAGAGGGAGCCAAGGTTTGAGCTCCCCAAAGCCTAAGAGTCGCCCGCTGGGGACTCACCACCACCACTGCCCGCAGCCCCACTCTCTTCAGCAGCAGGTCAGGAAAAATGGAATATTCAAAGTGCTGAAAAATATTGCCAACCAAATATGCCATACCAAACAAAGCTATTCATTAGAAATGAAGGCAAAATAAAGTTCTGACAAACAAAAAGCAAGGGAATTTATCTCCACTAGATTGTCATGGAAGCAAAAGGACAATATCTATCATCAAAACACACGCATGTATACATGTAAAATTCAACAGTAGAGCAGATACACAAATTAAAAAAAGAGAGAAAAAGTACCATAATAAACCACCAAACCACACATATAAATGATAAGAGAGGACAAAGAAATAATGGGTATACAAAACAACCAGAAAACAATTAAGAAAATGACAGGAGAGCAAGATGGTCAATAAAGAACCTTTCAATTACTGTCTTCTCACAGAAATATCAAATTGAATAACTATCTATGCAAGTAAACACCTACAAAACAATTAAGGTCGTTAGGTAAGCTATCTTAACACCTAATTTTACCGTAATATCAAGTAAAAAATGATTTAAGCGGTTAGAAAACAGTCTTCCATTGCCTAACCACCCCTCCTCCGATGCCAGATAGTGCTGTGCCTAGAGAAAAACTGCCAGCATGGGAAAGGAAAACAGAAGTTGGTGTGGGACTTTGCATTGGGCTGTATCGCTGGCTCTGCTACATTGGAACACAGCACATTACACTTTATTTCAGACTGGTGCTCATACAGGGAGCATTTAGACCCACACTGGGCCAGAGGACAAATCACTTCCTAGGCAGGAGGAACCTGAATCCTGATTCATTTAACCACTGGATGATTAAAGTGACCTTGGGTTCTATGTAAATTTTAGTAGCCGCAGGCCATCCCTACTATAGTTTTGGGTGAGACCCAGTATTGTACGGGTCTTGGAGGTTGTGGGTAAACAGAAAACTTTTCTAACTTAGAGAAATCTATAAGTAGCCAAATAAAAGAGGGCCAAAGATTGCCAAGCATATTCAACCCAAATAAGACTACCACAAGGCATATGAAGCTTTCAAAGTTCAGGACAAAGAGAGGATTCTAAAGGAAACAAGAGCAAAGCAAATAACATACAACATATAACAGAGCTTTGACATGTCTGTTAGCAGACCTCTTAGGAGAAGACATATACTAGAAAGAAGTGGGATGACAAATTTAAAGTGCTGAAGGGAAAAGACTTCCAAATGAGATCCTATACCCAGCAAAGCCATCAACACAACGGAGACTGAAAGACTTTCCCAAACAAAATCTGAGAGAATTTATGCCACTAATCTTGTCTTATAAGATATGCCTTATGAGAGTTCTTCAGTCAAAAAAAAAAAAGAAAAAAGAAACTTTTGTACAGCAAGAAAACATTTGAAGGTATAAAACTCAGTGATATAAATAAGTACACAGGCAAATTCAGAGTACTTTAACACTGTGATTGTGGTGTGCAAATCACTCTTATTTTTAGTATGAAGACTAAAAGACTAATCCATCAAAATAATAATGAATAAACCAATTTCTTGATAGGCAACACAAGATATAAATCTAGACAATAATAAGTCAAAATATAGAAATAAATGGAGTTCAATAGTAGAGATTTTTAATCTTTTTCTGTTTTTTTCTTTTTTAATACATTATGATCAAAGTTAAGAGGTCATCAGGTTTTTTAATACAAATAATTGGTCATCACTGTAGGCCTACAGTGTTTTTGTAAGCCTCATGGTAACCACAATTATACTAAAAATAGAAATAAAAAATTAAAATATACTGCTAGGGAAAATAAACACAAGTAAAGACAGGAAGAAATAAGCTAAAAAACTGAAAAAACAGATAACAAAATGATAATAACAAGTATTTACTCATTAATAGTAACATTAATGAAGATGGGCAAAATTATCCAATTAAAACATGGAGTTACTGACTGACTGAATAACTAGAAACAAGAGCAAACTATATGTTGCCTACAAAAAAACTCACTTCACCCATAAAAGTACACATAGACTGAAAGTGAAGAAATGGAAAAAAAATAGTCTATGAAAATGGAAATAAAAAAGAGCAGAGGTAGACACACTTGAATAAAATCAACTTTAGGTCAAAACTCGTTAAAATAAAAAAGAGATTATAATACCATGATAAAGACATCAATTCACAAATAGGATATAACAATTATAAATTTATGTACATCCAACATCAAGTCATTCAGATATATTAAGCAAATATTAATAGTTCTAAAGGAGGGGAGAAACTAAAATACAATAAGACTAGGGGACTTCAATACCCTATTTTCAGCAATGGTAAAGTCTAGGTAAAAATAATAATATAAAAACATCAGATCAACCTACATTCTATATCAAATGGACCATCTAATATGTACAGAACATCTTATTCAGCTGCTGCAGGGTACACGTTCTTTGCTTAGGTCATAAAATAGTCTTCGGGATAAAGCACATGTTAGTAATAAGCCTCAAGAAATACAACAAATTTGATATTATAGTAAGTATTTTTTTCTTATCACAATGGAATAAAATTAGAAATTAATAGCAAGAAGAACTTTGGAAAAAATAAGAACTTTTCACAGATTTTTGGAAATGAAGCAACATACTTCTGAAGAATGAATTGCTTAATGAGAAAATGAGGAAAATAATAAAAAATTCTCAAATGAATGAAAATGAGAACACAATATACCAACACTATAGGATACAGCAAAAATCAGTATTCAAAGCGAAGACCATAGCAGTAAATGTCTATGTCAAAAATATAGAAAGACATAAAATAATCAAATGATGTACTTCAAGAAACAAAACACGAACAAATCAAAATAATGCCAAAATAAAAATTAATAGAAAAAATAAATAATAAAATTACAGCAGGATAAATAAAAATGAGACTAAACACATTGAAAAATTTATTTTAAACAAATAACTGACAAGCTCTTATCTAGACTAACTTAAAAAAATAGAGAACATACAAATAAAACAAGATGAAAAAGAAAAGATGATATAAATGAAAACAAAAGAATAGAATAGGGAGACTCATTAGAGAGTATTATGAACATCGATATGCTCAAATAGTAGAAAACCTAGAAGAAATATGTCCTTAACACATACAATCTACCAAGATTGAGCTATAAGGAAATAGAAAACTTGAAGAGAAAAATAACAAGCAACAAGATTGAAGCAGTAATAAAGAGACTCTCAAAATACTCACTGGACCTGACAGTTTCACTGTTGAATTCTACTAAATATGTAAATAGGAACTAATACTAATTCCACTCAAACTTTTCAAAACACTTAGAGTGGAGGGAATACTTACAGACTCATTCTATGGGACAAGCATTGCCTTAATACCCAAACCTGACAACAGAGGAGACAACAAAACAAGAAACTACAGGCTATTATACCTGATAAATGCAAAAGTAAACATTTTCAACCAAATGGAAGGAAACTAAATACGACAGCATATAAAAAACCAAAATACACCATTGCTCAACTGGGATTTGTCCCAGGGATGCAAAGCTGGTTCATTATGTGCAAATCAACAAATGTGATACTCCACATCAGCAATATAAAAGATAAAAATTGTATGGTCATCTCAATAGATCTGTACAATAAAAACTTGAAAACACTGATGAATAAAATTGAAGAGTAGACCAATAAATGAAAAGAATCTATTGGTCATGAACTGGAAGAATTAATATTAAAATAACCATACTACCCAAACTGGTGGCATCACAGTACTTGACTTCAATATATACTACAAAACTATAATAACTGTAATAACCAAAACAACACTATATTGGTGTAAAAATAGACACAGAGACCATGGAATACTCTTCAGTCATAAGAAAGAGCAAAATTATGTTTTCTGCAACAACTTGGTTGGAGCTGAGGATCATTATCCTAAGTGAAGTAATGCAGGAATAATAAACCAAACATCACATATTCCCACTTATAAGTGGGAGCTAATTTATGGTCTGCAAAGGCATAGAAAGTGGCACATAGGACATTGGAGACTCAGAAGCTGAAAGACAGGAATGGAGGAGGGGCACAAATGGGGTTGATGGGTATACTTAAAGTCCAGACTTTTTTTTTAACCACTATACAAACCATTTGTACTGCTAAGGCTACTAGAATAAAGAATATTTAAAAATAATTTAAATTACACTGTACAAAATACACTGTGATTTTTTTCAATACTGGTGATTATTTGATGTTATCACTTACAAGGATACCAATTTTTTAAAATAAACAGCTGCATTGTTTTTCACTGATATCTGGAAAGAATCTAATTTTTTTTTCTTTTTTCTTTTTTGAGTTGGAGTTTCACCCTGTCGCCCAGGCTAGAGTGCAGCGTCAAACTCATGGCCACCCCAGCATAGACCTGCTGGGCTCAGGTGATTCTTCCACCTTAGCCTTCCAAGTAGCCGGAACTACAGGTGTGTGCTACCATGCCTGGCTAATTTTTTGATTTATTGTAGAGACAAGGTCTCACCAAGTTGCCCTGACTGATCTCGAACCCACAGGCTCAAGCAATGCACCTGCCTCGGCCTCTCAAAGTGCTGGGATTACAGGCTGAGCCATCGAGCCCAACTGAAAGAATCTAATTTTTCACACTTTCCATTTTTTCCAATGGATGTTTAAATTGTTTCTTAGTTTTCACTACTAGAAATAATTATACGTTTTATGCACACGTGCATATTTGTGAATTTTTCTCTAAATTTCAACTGCTGATATTACTGTGTCAAGGGACATGTGTGTTTCATATATATATTTAATATATTTTATTTTAAAGATGTGGGGTACAAAACAGGATTAGGTATACAAGTGGACATTGTACAGGTAAAGTTTGGGCCTCCCTTTGGACCCCATTTTGCCTGGTTTGAGATCAGGGACCCTTATTGATGATGTGTCCTCCCACCTCCACCTTGGCAGTATCCTGTTTCTACCAATCCCTTTCTTATAGTATTATGGTACATTTTCAGGGTCTGTTTATGAGTGAGAACATGTGGTACTCTGTTCTCTGTGTCTGTGATAGATCATTGAGTATTATAGACTCTAAATTCATCCAAGTTGCTGCAAAGTCCATATGTCCTTTATAGCTGCATTGTATTCCATCATGTATATGTACCACATTTTTTAATCCGGTCCGGTTTTGATGGAAAGCAAGGTTGGTTCCATGTCTTTTGCTACTGCGAATAGTGCTGCAATAAACATGTGAGTGTAGGTATCTTTTTTGTAGGATGACATGTGTTGTAAATTTTGGTAATAATTCAAAATTTTGGTACAAAAAATTACTACACATGGCACATTTGCATTCTTTAAATTAATGCTTGTAAAGTAATGCTATTTATTAAGTTTTTTTAAAAAAATCTTTATTTAAAGATGTAAGGTAAAACTCAGGGTTAAGTATACAAATGTTCATTATGATGTTACCCTTGTTCATGAGGTGTGCCCCACCTCTCCTGGCAGTTTCCCACTGCTGCCAATCCCTTTCTTATAGTATTATGATAATTGTTCAAGTTTCGCTTATAAGTCAGAACATATAGTGCGCTGTTCTTTGTTTCTGTGATAGATCACTGAGTATGATAGACTCTAAATCCATCTAAGTTGCTGAGAAGTCATTTCTTCTTTAGTCATCAAAATTTACAAGTGAAAGTGACCTGTGTTTCCCTTCTCATTAAATATATGTCAAATTTTATTATCAATAATATTCTGACTTGAAAAAAAATCATTGGCAAGCATATCTTAGTACACTTAGAAACATTGTATAAATAGTAATCAAGTTATCATTTCTATAATGTTTAAGAACATACATTTATTTTCTCTTGTTTTCTTTTTAAAATTTTTAATTTGAAAATGTGGGGTACAATTCAGGGTTATGTACACAAATGTTCATTATGCAGGTACCCTTGCTGATGAGATGTACCCTCCCTCCCCTGGCAGTTTCCTATGACTGCCAGTCCCACCCTCCCTCCCTTGACAATTTCCAGCTACTGCCGATTCCTTTCTTATGGTATTATGATAATTGTTCAAGGTCAGCTTATGAGTTAGAACATGTGGTACTCTGTTCTTTGTTTCTGTGATAGATCATCACTCAGTATTATAAACTCTAAGTTCATCCAAGGTACTGCGAAGTTCATAATTTTGTCCTTCTTTATCTCTGCATAATACTCCATCATGTATATGTACCACATTTTTTTATCCAGTCCTCTTTTGATGGGCAGCAAAGTTGGTTCCATGTTTTTGCTATTGTAAATAATGCTGCAATAAACATGTATGTGCAGATATCTTTTTGTAGAATGACATGTGTTTTAAATTTTGGTAATAATTTAAAATTTCAGTACAAAAAAGAATTGCTGCACAATTACATTGCTTAAATGAATGCTTGTAAAATAATGCTATTTATTAATAATTTATTTTTTCTTGTTTCCTCAAAACTTACAAATGAAGTTAGCCTGTGTTTCCCTTCTCATAAAAGCTATCTCAAATTGTATTATCAATAATATTCTGACTTGAAAAAAATTATTGGCAAGTATACTTTCTTGAGTACACTTAGAAACATTTTGTAAATAGTAATCAAGTTATCACTTCTATAAATGTTTAAGAACACAAATTTGGAGGATTTTGAAAATGTATTTTCCCTTGTTTTCATTACTAAGTAGTCTTCCTTAAATCTAGTTATTCAGTGATTCCTTAGAAAATCCTGTATCAGTTGTTGTTATTATGGTAATGAATATCATCAATTTTTTTGGTATGAAAAGACTCTAAACTCGATAGTGTTTAGTACTTGTTATTATACATTTCAATATTATATTAGAGCTCACATTATTTCTGCTTTTCTCACGAAGGTAAAATAAACGGATTGTCACTGATTTAATCACACGATTTCCAAGATTCAATTCAATATACTTAGAGAAGTCAAATGGAAACAGTACTTACATTGTCCTGTATATTTGCTTGTGACCAGAGTAGATCTTTGCATTTGGTATCGTGTTGCAGGATCAGGCTTTGGCAGTTTCAATTTAAAATTATGGAATTCACTCATGTCCGAGGAAAAACAATTTAGGCTGATGTGAGTCATGACCTTTTGTGTCATTTGAACATAAATTTTTACTATCCAATTCGCCATTTCTTTGTATATACTTTCCATGACTGACTGTCCTTTTAAATGTGTAACTTGAACTTACTTTTGTTTTATAGTTTCATTATTATGATGTCTACATTTTGGTATATAAATACAACTATAGTTATTCTATGGAAAAGTATTAGAAAAATCGTATGTACTAAAAATTCTATGTACTATTAAGATGAGTAACTCATAATGTATAATATAAAGACAATATAATTAAAAAATAGGTGTAGGAAGAAAGATATGTTTAAATCACAGATCCACATTTACTAACTTGATAACTTCACAATTAAGTTTACTTTTGCACTTTTGCATTTAAATTCACCTATATCAAAATATTTAATAAAAATATTTTACATCACTAAATATTGAATAGCAACACATGTTTTCTGTTTATAGTTGCTATTGCTTCTCAGTCTGTTGCTTCCTAGTTTTCTAACTTGCAAAAGAATGAAAGAAAAAGAAAAAGATATCTTCCCAACCTGGTCTAGATATTTAAAACATGAAATAAAACATGATGAACTTAGGGTCAATAATAGCGACACACAGGAAACATTTAGTAAAAGCTATTGTGTATAATATTCTTCATAGTGAAAGATATATGTAGGCTAAAAAGGTAGTAGTTAATGTTTTAGGACAAAGACAAAGAGTCTTGCTTCTGAACAAAAGAGATATTATAAAACATAGTTTTGCTCTCTTCTTGAAATATTATTTCCTGAATACTTAAAAAACTTTTATAAATTAAATAATAATACAAATATGCTTTTATGCCTAAAAATTAGACTTAAATATTGCTTGCACATATAATATGTAACTTATTAAAAATGTGAAGTAAAGAAAGCAGGTGTCATTTTATGGATGAAAAAATGAAATCTTAGAGAGCTAAAATTATATGATTTATTTCATATAATTTTACTCACTATGAATAGTTTACAACACTTTTAAGACAAGAAGCACTTTCAAATACATGTCACTTAGTTAGAAAATTACATAAATTCACTAAGGTAAATTAGGTATGTTCTACACCTCTACTTGATAGAAAAAGAAAGTAACGTGCATAGCGGCTGAGGATTGCCCCATTTCAAAGCTAGACAATGGTAAAAGCTTGAATAGAATTCAGTTCTGACTTCAAATCCTAATGCCAGTTTACTATTCCAACTTGCCACAAATTGTGAATGATTTTATTATAAGTAGTTGATGAAATATAAGGCAAAAATGTTTTTAGATTTTTGAAGATTTCATTTACAAACATAGCATGAACATAATGTGAAGTAAACATAAAATGAACACAAAATGATTCAGAGTAAATGGCTTTCCTATTGTTATATGCATGTATACAATTCTGGATATCTTAAAGTTATACCAAAAAATTATACGTTTATGTGGAAAGTACGTACCCAAATTGTGATGAGACCTCTGATCACGAATCAATCCCATCATATAATTCTGACTGTACACCTACCCCAGAGAAGAAGTTAAAGTTTTTAATTCATAAAGCATTCCTGAATAAAATAAAATTGAGCATGTTTTGGTATTCTTTTCTTGTGGTGAGATAAAATATTTTTAATGGAATAGTAAAATACAGAAAAACTTACCTCATGTATGTCTTTAAAAAAATAAAATAATGAAAATGACAATTCACATAAATTCAGGTAAAACTCATTTCATAAATTTCTCTTGGTTGTAAAACAGCAGCTAATTATTTCAAAATGTCATATTAACACAATTGATATTTAAATTCACCTACATTAAAAGATATTTTACAACACTAATATTGAATTGCAACACACATAGTTTTCTGTTTATAGTTGTTATAACTTCTCAGCCTTTTGGCCAAGATCAAAAGTTTACAGTTGTTTATTTTATTGGGCAATAACTGATTTTTTGCAGGCTAAACTCATGCAAGATATATAAATTTTTGTTGAGTATTTTTTCCTAATACATTTTATTTCAACACTGTTAATATACCAACAAATTATCATAATCATCATCATTTACAAAAGTAATCTCACATGTTTACATAGTAACAACTTATAATGTCAAATAGAGCTCTCAGAAAAAAATAGCTACTTAATAAATATGTATAGTGCTTAGATTTTAAACATAAAAGCTATTACATACTTGATCATGGTACTTGGAAAGTACAATACAACTTGTTTTATCTTGCAGGTAAAGTTGTGTATCTAAAGTATGCACCTTTGACAATGTCACAAAATTCATAAATTTGAGACTTCAAACTGAAGCTCACTTTCTCCTAATCCCAAATGTAAAGATTCATTAATCTAGGTTTTCTTAGAGACAATGCTTATTCTTATACTAACATCATAACTTCTGATTCTTAAATAAATACATTTTAATTACCTGTCATTGGATATAGTGATAAAGAGTGAACCTCAGAAGTGATAAGGATTACCTGACCTCTATAATTCTATTCACACACTTAAGAAACAATTAGAATAAACTTATAGTGTACATAGTTTTACAGAAGTTTTCGAGGGTGAAATATAGTTCCTCATTTCGAATAATTGTTAGAATCTCTCTCTCTGTCTCTCTCTCTTTCTCTCTCTTTCTCTCTCTCTCTCTCTCACACACACACACACACACAGACACACACACACAAATATGGACACACACCTGATCAGAGGAGGGAGGTCTTGATGATCTTGATTCTTGTGAATAAATCCTCTGATAAAACCGGAACATTAAAACATGTCCTGAGTTCCTAATTTAGAATTGAAAGTAGAGGTGCTTGGTTAATTTCGATCTTTGAGGAAGATATGACAAGTGCTATTTTAATCTCATCTTCCTGTGGAAAAACATAACACAAATCATAGTACTTCTGCCTTTTTATAACACAAAGTACTTTCTAATTTGGTAAAGTGAGACCACCTACTGCTGGGTAAATGTTAATTTCTAACAACATTTTGGAACTTGAAAATGATGACTTTAAAAAATGTCATTTAATTTTAAATATTTTAGAGATTCAATTCATTTCCAAGTTTTGTTATGGGACTTAGAAAACTGAATGCTAAATATATGTTAAATTACAAAAGCCAATAGTGGGCAAATCGCTATTGAAGATGATGAAAATATAGGGCTCTCTCCTACTAAATATTGAGACCTATATTAAAACTATGTTAATTAAAACAAATGGATATGAAAGCTCAGATAGACAAATTAAGAAGGGAAAAGATACAGCTAAGAAAAAGTCATGTGCACAGATGGAAAAAATATGAGGAAACATTGTAGAGAAAGTAGAAAATGAGATTCTCTTCAGCAGTTAGTCCTTGAAAATATTTTATTTCAATATAAAAGATGTGAAACTGGATCTCCATCATATATACACCATATGTAGAAGAAATAGAAATGTTTATATATCTCAATGTAAATAAAAATGAGTAAATGTATGCGTGGAGCCAATAAACAAGTTCAGGTAAATATACATTTTATTTATATTCATTTATTCCATATATCAAATTAAGATGTAAGATAAAGTAATAGATTATTATGCATGCATCATAAAATTTTACAGCAAAACAAAGTTATTAACCTCAAAACTCTGGGATATATCATGGGAGGAAAGCAACTTTTGTATGGTAATATGTGAAAGTTGTACAATAAACAAATTTATTTAGTACATTTATTTTTAGCGAATGCTATTTGCTAGGCACTTTTTCAGGCTTTGAGAATGTCAATGTAAAAACCTAAAACAAAATTTTTGCCATAATGGAGTTCACATTTTAGTTTAGGTGATAGAAAATGAATAAAACAAATTTAACAAGATAAGTGAATATAAAATAAGTAAAAAAAAGTTATATTCTGACTCCCTTATACCAATATTCTTTTCAGCTAACCACAATTTTCCGTTGAATATTTTGTATAATAAAATTATATCTATATAGAGGAAATATCAGCTGACATTTTCCTACAATCACATTTTTACAAATGTTTGGCTTGAGAAAGAAATTGAGTAAGATGCTTAAATGTGGGCTTTTACTGGGAAAAACCCAATCACACTTAACTGAAGAATTATTTTTATACTTGTAGCTTTAGATTTACTTATTTGTCTCTTAAATACACAATTGAGAAAAGGCGATAAGAATAGGGTAGAAACAAAGCATCTGAATATCCTCATTTCATGTAGTTCAAATAGCAGTATACAGCCTAAGGGGAAGTTACAAAACACATCCGCAAAATATGATCTTTGATATGATAAAGCTAAGCACAGGAATATATAGTGCCATATATAAAAGTTCCTTAACAAAATGTTTAGAATGTGGGAAGAATTCTTAAAGAGAAAAATGCGAAGATGATTCTTGTATGGTGAGTTTAAAACAACTGGCATGGGTGCGAAGAAAAGGGAACCCTTCTACACTTGTTGGTAGGAGTGCCAGCTAGGTCAACCTCTGTGGAAAGCAGGATGACAATTCCTTAAATAGCTAAAAATTGATTTTTCATATGATCCAGCAATCTCTCTCCTGGGAATATCCCTGAAGGAACATAAACTGTTCTACCAAAGACACCTGCACACATATGTTTATAGCCACACTATTCACAATAGCAAAAACATGGAACCAACCCCACTGCCCATCGAAAGTGGAATGGATGAAGAAAATGTGGTACATATACATAATGGATATTATGCAGCCATAATGAAGATCAAAATTATGAATTTTACAGTAAATAGGATGGAACTGGAGATCATCATACTTAGTGGTTTGTGATAGAAACAAAGAACTGAATACTGCATGTTCTACTCATGAGTGGGATCTGAACATTTACCACATTAGCACAAGAGAGGAATTGGCAGCCACTGAGCACTGCCAGGGAGAGAGGGAGGGAGGGGGCGTGCAACAAATCAAAGGGGACCTGGTCCCAAACCAGGGGAAGTGAGGCCCAAAGTTCACCTGCATGCA